TTTCAATGTGTTTATTAACGTTGAGAGAAGAATCATACACAACACCAAGGTCTTTGATAGATTCCACTCGTTTTAGTTTTGTTCCAAACATGTCGTAATCGAATCTTATATTGATTCTGGTGCGAAATATAGATAAAACTAGGCATTTGGAGATATTTAGTGGAAGTTTATTGTTAAGGCTCCACTTAAGTAGACGGTCTATGTCCTTTTGAAGGAGGTTACAATCCTCAACAGAGACAAGCTCAGAATAGATTTTTAAGTCATCTGCGAACATAAGTGAGTTTGAGGTAATTATGGACATACGCAAATCGTTAATAAAGATCAAAAACAACAGTGGTCCTAGGTTGGACCCTTGAGGTACACCTGAATTGGCCTCAAACTTTCCTGAAGTATTACCATCAAATTTTACTTATATATGTCGTAGTCTTTTAGTGAAATCCGTCATTTCACGAAACGCCTAGTCCGAGGCCTAGTCATTTAGTGAAACGCTGAAAATTTGTACGTGTGGGGTAACTTCCCTTCCCCTTCTAGATCGATAAGGATACCATTTATCGATTTCCAATGGGAACGGAATCCAATCGCTTGGCCCTGGAAAGTACACTGTGCCACAGTTTCATATAAATGACTAGGCGTTTCGTGAAATGACGGATTTCACTAAAAGACTACGACACACACACACACACACACACACACACACACACATATATATATATATATATATATATATATATAACTGTGGCCTCGCCTGTACCCATCGCTTTACACTGTATTATATATATATACCGAGTGGTGCCTAGCGCGACGCAGCATAGGGATTTCAATGGTAATTTCTTTATAGTCAATTAGTAGCTCCCCTAATTATATATACCGAGTGGTGCCTAGCGCGACGCAGCATAGGGATTTCAATGGTAATTTCTTTATAGTCAATTAGTAGCTCCCCTAATTATTTTAGAGCAAAAGTCTAAATACGTTTTTTTTAGAGCAAAAAATTCTGCATCTGTTCACACTTTTAGTTATAATTTTCCATTTTTCAAAACCGTAGAAATCGACAAAATAAAAAGGTTCATTTTACAATAAATCAAATATTCCTTGGAATTACCTAAAAAAACAGCGATCACGTTTCATTATTTGCCTTTGACGTATATTAAATTTATACTTGTTTATAAATTTGTTAAAGAACTGCAAGTGTAATAACGTCCAAATGTCCGTCAAAACCATCAGGAAAACCACAATACATTCAACGTTTTGGCTGCAGTAGCGAAAATCCGAATATAAGTTTAGGAACAGATCTTCTTCAAATCAGTTTTTTTCTTCGATTATGTAGGTACTCTGATTCCGTAAAATGATAAACAAATAGTATCTGATGCAGAGGCAGCATACATTCTCTAAAAAACATTACCCTAAGATGCCTTTTATTGCGTCGGTTAGTTGTAACAGAATTAAATATGAAAATCGTTCGACGTCAAACAAACAACGATAACTTAGATGCGATGCGCTTGTAGTTTGTTAAAAGATTCCAAAGCATCACTGATTTATAAAAATGTAATTTTTTATTTTGTCGATCTCTACGGTTTTGAAAAATGAAAAATTATAACTAAAAGTATGAACAGATGCAGTATTTTTTTCTCTAAAAAAACGTATTTAGACTTGCTCTAAAATAATTAGGGGAGCTAGTAATTGACTATAAAGAAATTACCATTGAAATCCCTACGCTGCGTTGCGCTAGGCACCACCCAGTATATCCGTTAACGTAGCCCGCCAAGAGCTTTTCATAGCTCTAAAAAATCCTACATCTAGAGGTTGCGTAAGGTGTGTCGAATTTGGCACAAGACACACAAAATCAATTTCATTTCCTACACACCATTTTAAAACATCATCCTCTAAATTGGATGAAAGGTTATCCCCAATAAGGACCTTACGACCTTTTAACCTCTTTGCATGGGGTAAAAATGTTGTCAAAAAAATCTCGAAATGTCACGGAGTCTATCCATCCACTATTTGTACGATTGTACCTACATCGTCTGAAACAACAGCTCCACCTTGTTTCCAAGTGTCGTACAAATGTATGCTCTTGTAAATAATACAAGGCGGCAAGAGTGTACCATCTACTGACCTACACACCATTATTGTTGTTGCACTCTTTGAATGATTACAAATTTTTTCAGGGTATTTCACCCCTCTTCGGTAAATACCCCATTTTTTGCCTGGGTCGTCAGAAACGTTAGTCTCATCATAGTTAAAGATGTTTGATGGAATTTCCTTTAATGTTTGTTCCAAATTAGTGAAATAATTATTTACTGTCTCTTTCGAAACTGTGGCTCGAGCTTTTTCAATGTTAGTGACCAAACGCTGACCATACGAATTTTTATGGCGCTTTAAAACGCTAAGAGCCCAGTCTTTTCCCGGCAAATTATTTATAAATTGTGGAACAATGCGACCCTTTTCTAAAAAACATTTGGCCATCATTCTTAAGTCTAATAAATAGGGGGGAATCCCCAATCAGCGCATTTCGCCACTGCTGAGAGAATTTCTGTTTCTGAGAAAATCGCTTGTCGCCCTGGTTTCCTAATATGCCTACCTTTAAACTTATTATTTAAAGAGGCATAGGGTATTTTAAATTTAACAGATGCATTCTGCATACTTAAGAGTTCCGTTTGCAATTTCCGTAAGTGCTTCATCCAAAACTTCCTGCAAGTTTATGTATTGCCTAGTACCAGGTTTTTTTCTTATATTGGCGCACAATGGTAAACTGAAAATGAAATAGACAAAAAAAGTAGAACACTATCTTAATTATACGCGGGGCTACTTTGATTGGTGGTCAAAGTTACCCCACGACGTGTTTTGCAATTTTTCCTCCACGTTTACAACAACAAAAATAAGTTAAAGGCGATAACTAGTACACGAAAGGTGTCCAAAGAACATGTATAATCACTTACCTTCAGAAAAAAATTTGGATGGCGTGCACTATTGAAGTTATTCACACCACAAAAATTGTTCAAAAATTTCGTACACAAAGTTGTATCCGGGGTTCCACTGCTCCTACCCGGTGCAGTTGCCTCCGAGGTTCGAAGAATGATTTAACATATGGTATGCATAAAATATATCCAACGAGGGACCTTATTTGCGCCATAAGATTCCAACCACCGTTGAAAATCCGAAAAAATCTCTTGTGGTACTTACTCATCCCAAGACACTTTCTGTTCCCACATCTTCCTTAGCAATAGCTTGGGCAATAAAGTAGCCGGGCATGTAAAATCTACGGGATCGAAGATCTGCGCAATGGATACCATGGTTTTTTTGGCACTGGACATGAATGAACCAGCTCACAATCCTTAATGACATCAGTCGCTACATTCACAGTGTCATCAAACTTATTCCAAACGAGGCCTAAAATTGGAATCAACTGGCTTCCTGCTTGCCCAGTATACTCCCACCCTCCCAACTCAAATTTTCCGAGGTTCATCACCGCCGTGGACTCTGATATAAAATCTTTAAATTCACTCTCCTCTGATAGGCTCGTAACGCAGTTATCCACGTAGAAACTAGTTGCAAGCTTGGCCAAATTTTCGGAGATCAAATGATTATGTCCCTTCGCTTTCTGAATATGTAATTCGATCGTCGCTCCTAAGAGGAAAGGACTACAACTCAGACCAAAGACTACTCGCCAATGCCTATAGATGACTTCTCTTCCTTTAGAATCCACCCATAAAAAACGTAGAACATCACGATCGCTTCTTCGACGATACAACACGTCGTTTCAATTTCTGCTCCATTTCTTTTTAGATGTTGCTTACAACAATCCCTCGAAGAAAATGGACAACACACGTAGCTGCAGACGGTCTTTGAAATGCGAAGACTCCGAATTCACCAGCTGATCACTCTCTTATGCACAATGTGCGTTCTAGCGCTGAAAACCTCACCGCAGTGTCCTGTCACGGTCGCCAAATGTTGCTCCTACCCGATGCAGTTGCCTCCGAGGTTCGAAGAATGATTTAACAGATGGTATGCATGGTATGGTATGACATGGTAACTATTTTATACCAGAAGGGAGGGCTCTATTTTTCATAAATTGTACAAACGCAAGGCTTTTTGACCAGTTTGTTGTGTTGTTGTCTTGCATCCAGCCTACTAACATTTTCTCAATGTCTTGGTTAGCTCGCTCTACTGACACTTGACTTTGGCTATGCCTTGGTTTTCCATGAACCAACTCTACCTCAGGCCAGTATGACACCACCTAGTTGATCACTGCATTAACGAACTGTCTGCCATTATCTGAGTGCAAAATACATGGGGCGCCAAAAGTCAGAAATATGTCTGTTAATTGATAGGCAACTTCCTCCGTCCTCTCGCTTTGCAGTGACCAATTTAAGTGATCCTGGTACACCATAATATACTTGAACCCGTGATCCTCTTGTGCATGTCTATTAAATCTACCTGGCAACGGCTGTTCATTTCCGAATGCAGTATAGGTTTGGAAACGAGACCCCTCTTCTTACTCTGACTAGTTTCACACATTGATATGCAAATATTTGTGTGAAACCTATCATATCAATAGTTATATTTGCATATTTTCTGGAAGTTTTAGTCCTCAACCTATCTCGACCTCCATGTCCAATAGCAACGCGCGCTGCTTCAATAATGTCAAAAATTTCTTCAGCAGGTAGATAATATTTAATAGGTTCTGTAAACTTTTTTCTTCTATGTGAAGAATCGCTGGTTGCAAAATACTTCTTGTAATAACACAACGCGGGAACATATAACAACTATTTATTTAACATACTTTGAAACATTGAAAATTTTGTACATTCGCGTGGAAAGTCAAGAACGTAATGCCCTTTCTCAATTGTAACTACAATGTTCTTGAGAGCAGAGGGAAATAACCCAGCTAACCATGGAAGGTCTGAGAACCGTCGGCCGAATGTATGCATTGAATGTGCATAATGCAGGTGCTTAAACAGTATAAATACTGCAGTAACATTCAACTACGCCAATGTAATTTATTACTGCAGCACCGCGTGAGCATCTTTTGGGTTGTATTTTATTAACGCATATTTATTGTGCATATTCAACAACAATGAAACGAGAATTATCGGCTAGGAGATGACCGCTATTATTAAGTGCAGTTCAAGCGTTGGTTCTGTGCATGCTATCTAGGAACTTCTCATGTCAAGGTTGGTATTAAGGTAAGTAAGTATATGATTGGTACTACTAATTTTTATTTTTAGTGTCGCTGCAAATGGCGGATATTGTTTCTTTTGCTTTTTTTTAAGAAATTGTTCAGTGTTTGCGAATGTCTCAAAAGCACAAGTGAGTTTTTATACCGATTACTTTATACCCGTATATACAGTCAGGTTTCCATTTGCGTACCGTTTGTTTGACTAAAAAGATAGGTGCATGTTTACTTCAATGCTATTTTATCATGTCCTTTGCTTATAAACGACAAAGCCTTCGTCAAAGGCAACGAAATATAAAAAACCAAGTACAACAAGTCATCAATTTAATTGAACTTGAAAATAAGTACAATGAAGAAAGTACTCCAATAGGCACTAACAAGATAATGAAGTAATAATGAAGCTGCTGCCTCGTCTTCTAGAAAGATTTTGTATACTCAATCTTTCGATGCATCTTTTGATGAGGACGGTGAAGTACACGAGGCCTCGCAGCAGACAATTGCAATACCTTTTCTAAATCGGAACTTCTTTAACGTAGAAGTAACTGCTACAGAAGAAACCAACATCAACGATAACTTTAGTGATGAAATTTGTTTGGAAAATCGTAAGTCGAGTGATTCATCTAAAGAGTTTCTTCAGAATTGGAGCAAACGCAATAAAATTTCGCATGTTGCACTTACTGAACTATTAAAATGGTTTAAATTAAAGCCCAATATTAGTGATTTGCCACAGGACTCGCGTACTTTACTTAAAACTCCCAGAAAAATGTTCGGCATTAGAAAATTTTCAGATGGTTGCAAATTTTATTACTTTGGATTAAAAAAAAATTATCTAAACTTTATTTAAGATTTCTTTGTGACGAGATGGAATTAAATTTTAATATTGATGGCCTTCCTCTGCATAAAAGCACCAAGCAACAATTTTGGCCAATTTTATGTGTTGTAAGTAACCTAGCCGATCAATCTCCATTTATTGTAGCACTGTATTTCGGTCACAAAAAACCTCCACTTGAAGAATACTTATGTGATTTTATAAATGAACTAAAAATCTATTTAAAAGATGGTTTAGTTCTTAATAATACCATTATAAAAATTACTGTGCGGTCATTCTGTTGTGACATGCCTGCCAGATGTTTTGTAAAGAATGTCATGAATCATAACAGTTATAGTGGTTGTGATAAATGTAGTGTAAGAGGTGACATTAAGAATAAACGCATGATATTTTGTAATTTAACAGCAGATCTTCGAACAACAGAATCTTTTGAAATACTTACCGATAGTTATCATAAGGGCAGCAGTCCTCTTTCTAAATTGCCTGTAGATATGATGACTGCTTTCCCAATTGATTATATGCACTCTGTTTGCCTTGGAGTGATGAGAAAGCTGTTATTTCTATGGAGGGATAAAGGCAAACCTTACGGCATTAAAAATATCATTGATGTAAATACACTCATATTAGAATTGAGACCATACTGGCCTGCCGAATTTAACAGAAAACCTAGATCATTATCAGAGTTAGAGCATTGGAAGGCGACAGAATATAGACAGTTTTTACTTTATGTAGGACCCATTGTGTTGAAAAAGAAGCTACCTCATACCATTTTGTGTAACTTTTTATTGTTAAAGTTTGGCATATCAATACTGTTGAATGAAAACCTGAATAAGTCATATAATCAATATGCAGACAAGTTATTGCGCTTATTTGTAAAACACGCAATCGCTATATATAGCAAAGAGTTTTGTGTCTATAACGTTCATTCGTTAATCCACCTTTCGAAAGATGCCAAAATATTTAACACGCTAAATACAATCAACTGTTTTGCATTTGAAACTTTCTTAGGCAGCTTAAAAAATCTACTTAGAAAGCCCAATTTACCTCTAGAACAAATTGTAAGGCCTTACGAAGAATTAGGTACTGTGGGTCCAAATAGAAATCCACAGAATTTTGAAATGTGACGTTTTTGCACATAAATAATAGCTGATTAACTAGTATCAAGTCAAACAGTGTCCATATTTCTGATAATTTATTACTAATTTAATGGGATGTTATTATCACTATCTGAGATAAGCTTTTTCGTCAGGTGAATAATAAACATTCAATTTTAGAAAATGGAAGGTAGTAAAGGGACTCCAATAAGTCAACGTACCGCGCTATTATTAAAATTGTCTAAACAGGAACAAACCAACTTCGGAAGTGTCCAAAGTGAACCGTACTCAAAAAAAGTATCAAGATGGGTGGCATCTTTACCTTACAATCTAAATGAAACTGCAGCATACGGAGCTGATGATAACCAGTCATCGCAAATTTGTTCTCTAGATAGTTCTGCAGGTAAAATGCAGTTTAAAAGAAAAATGTAGCAGTCTTGGAAAGCGTTTTTTTTTCAGGATGTGTTGCAAACATCCATGAAACCGAAAATTGTTCGCCAGTATTGAACTACTTGCTGACTGAGGCTGAAGAGAGTAGGCAAACCGTGGGTGCAAATACTGATAATAATGAAAATATGAATAGTGGTAGTGATGACATAATTGATAATGATCAAACATCGCAAAGGTGCGCTGTAAATAGCTCTTCAGGTAAAACCCAGTTTTAAAAGGAGACGCTGTTATTTTAGAATAATATATTTTTTTCCTCGGTGTTGCTGCTACCGAAATTATTTCTTGTGAAGACCGAAACTATACCCCACTATCAAACAAAATACCAACTGAAATTAAAGACGATTCTGTGGTTGATATTTCACTGAAAGAAGCCAAAAGCGGCCATGAATGTATACATACCTCCTCTGTAAATAAAGGTAACGAAGTATAAATTATCATACTGTAAAAGTGTTTCATGATTTACTGTTTTTAGGTACCGAGTCGTTTACAAGCGCACAAGCCGATGACGTCGAGTCACCCATTGATGATTCAGATGCTGACCCGAACTACTCTTCCTCTTCCTCTTCAAGCTCATCTTTTTTGTCAGATATAGAAGAAGTCAGAGAACAGAAAGTCAGAAAAAGGAAACTGAAACCTGAAGCATGGAAAAAAAATATTGCAAAACATCGTCGGAATGCTAGACTTGAATACGTATCAACTTCAAAAAGTAAAAAGGTAATCAAAGCTAGAGAGATTGGTCCACCTTGTGACAAGTGTCGATTAAAATGCAAAGAAAAGATTACTGCAGAACAAAGAAAATTGATATTTTCTGACTACTGGAACATGGCAGATTTGTAGTGGAAGGGCGGTCATATAATTATGATCGAACTTCACTTACAGGTAAGTTCGTTTAATCATTAATTATATTTCCCGCCCTTCCACTACATGATCATTGGTAGATGTTTAAAGATTTCAGCAATTTAGTACTGCCACATATTTTATTATTATAAAATAGAAAACCTCCTACCAACAGTAGGTACAACTTATGTACAAAAACTATATCCTAAAAAATGCTTACATACTACCAAGCATCTCATAATCTTAAGCATAAAACCAACTAACCACTACGGTTAATGCGGCAGCAAAGTATTTGCCTGTAAAACTGAGTTACCAAAGGTCTGGTTAACTTTAACAGAGCAATGGTAGAATTTTGCAAATACGGAAGAGTTAGCCGTCCAACCTGCAGTCTTCCGAATTTCATCCAAGCTAACCTCTGCTCGGTAAGCTGCAGAAGTACTGGCATGCCTTGTGGAATGAGGCTTAAACAACTCTGTGTCTACTCCACTTTTACTTAACATGCCCTTAATCCATCGACTAAGGGTCTGGCTTGACACTCTGCCATGTGGCTTTTTAAATGATATAAATAACCAATGATTTAACCTAAAGCTGGCAGTTTTCTTTATATACTCAAACAATACACTCGCTACACAGAGTCTAATATTACTTTTAAATAGTGGTATTTTGGTATTTGAAGAAGGGGTTGAACATTGTTTGGAGTGGAAGTTTTCACCAGATCCGGGATAAATATCTGTGCACCATCACTATTCTTAACAATATTCTCAATCTTTATACTAGCAAAGGTCTGAACTCGGTGAGCGGTTGTGATTGCAAGAAGAATCAGTAATTTCTTTCCTAATATCTCAACCGTTAGTTGATCATTATCGCCTAAAGAATCCACATAGCGTATCACAATTTCTGGATCCCAAGTGTAATTGTATCTAGGTCTAGAAGGCCGGCTCCT